TTGGAATAAGAATTCAGTAAATTATTAGCATGAATAAAATTTAGTAGTTTTTCATGAGCACTAATTAAATGAGAATAGGTTCTTATGTTAGAAAAGACAAATGAGAACTAAGAGTGTCTAAGAAATATTAGATGCTATTGGAGGTATACTGTCCATTTTAGAATATTTAAGTGTTGTTCTATAAAACAAGACTATTTTATTGTAAGTATATTGATTGATGCAATTAGTGTTTTACTTATGATTTTAAACCAAATTGAACTAATATTAGAGATTTGAAAACAAATAAGATTTATCATTGAATTTAAGTGTGTTTCCATGTTGCTTAATCATTTTTTTTAAAAAAACCCAAAATAATTATGATTTTATTGAACTTAAATTACAGTCTTGGTAGATGAACCCCTTATTCATGCAACTACTTATATTCCTTTGATGGATAATGCTAACTCAAATCTTGTGGTAGATAAGAGAGAAGTTATTGATCTGATTAAATCTGACCAAGTAGAAGGAATCCAGAAATCTGGGACAAAAAAGTTGAAGATTGAAACTGACAAAGGTAATATCCACATTGTCAATAATTAGTTACATTGTACTATTATATTTTTGAGTCATCATGGAGTCAAGTTCATATTCTCACAGAATCAGTGCATTGCAAAAGACTAATAGAACTCTTGCAGTAAAAGACCTGTTGGTAGTCTCTAATCTGTCCTTCCCAATGTTGTAGGCCTGGACACTGGAATTTGACTTGCTCAACATTCCACAGCTATTTTGCTATATGGTGACCTATTATTCCTTGCTACTATTATCTTTTGTGAGATATTGAGGCTAATTTATTTATTTATATCTAAATATTTTGGTTTTAGTTGTGGTTAGACACAATACCTTTATTTTATTTATTTATTTTTATGTGGTGCTGAGGATCGAACTCAGCGCCTCACACATGCTAGTTGAGCGCTCTACCACTGAGCCACAACCTAGCCCCGAGGCTAATTTATAACTGCCTTTTTTCTTTTTTTTTCAAATAGATTATTTTTTAGAGCAGTTTTAGGTTCACAGCAAAATTGAGTAGAAAGTAGAGTTTCTGTGTTCTCCCTTCACCCCACACATGCTCACAACCACTTTTTAAAAGTTGCAGT